GGGCAAGACGATGTGGTCAGTTCCACCGTTAAGTATAACTCAATGAACACATCAGCTGACCGTCTTTGGAAAACTGGCATTTCCTTCAGTCCAGGAAGGCAACGAAAAGCTGCCCAAATCATTGAAACTTTTGATACCATAGAAGATACAAGTCTTGATGAGCTTTGACGAAAGAAGGAAAGTCAAACGTGAATAATGGTATCCCAGTCAGTCATATCACGAACTGAGTTGTCTGTCATACTTCTCACCAATTGGGTTGTCTGTCATATATAAAATTTATATTTCTCTCCAATCGCGAAGGGACTGTGTTCAGAACTCTACTAAAAGAGTCTCACTGCCTACCCCCGGGACTCTAAAAGGTCTCTAAGAACGACCTTCTGCTTTCTAGAATAAGAGATTTTTATTTTTTTAAATAACATGATGGCTACCAAATTTTAACTCCATAAAAACACTGTGGTCTAGAAGGCCCCTCTTTAAAGGAATGGGGTCTTGATGGAAACCAGAGGAAGGAGGCCTAAAAAGCAGAGTACTGAAACTATGATCTAGCTTTTGCTTTTAGATCTCTAGAGATACCAAAGGGGTACATGTACCATGGAACACTAGGCCTATCATTCCGTGCGTTTGAGTAGAAGCATTCTTAGTTATTTATAAAATTTATAACTCCAATTTGTCAAACAGTCCCAAGACTCAAGACTCAAGTAAAGTTTGTGTGGCTGAGTAACGAAACTGCCCTTGTCCTAGAAGAGGGAAAATGGAAGAGGGGGGATTTGGGGGTGGAAAAAAAAAGGGGGGGGGGGGGGGAATGATCGTATAACGGTACGGATATACGTATGGGAAAAAAAAAGGGGGGGGGGGGAGTCAGATCTAACCCCGCTGTGTAAGTACGCGCACTTGTCGTCCACTAGCCTACCAGTTGCACTGCGACTGGGCAAAGTTTGTTCTAAGCGCCTGAGAGAGTGTCGTGTTGCTGGGGACTCCCCAAACTCACTCGACACGACACCATGCTGAAGTAGTAGGCAAAGCTTATTTATTCTCTACCAGTGGCGTTTAAACACCTCAGCAAATTAACCCTATCCGTACACCCTGGGGTCATTTTGTACCTCCGGGGTAGAATTCTTCACATTTTAGAATACTTCTAGTACGGGAATCTCTTTGAAACTGGTTCAGTATTTCTCCAAAAATAATTTTAACAGACTGAAACGCAAAGCGCACGCATTGAATTAACGAGTTAATTTCCTCTTTGAACGTGGTGGCACAGAGTTCCCCACGCCTCACGATACTAATATAGTAAAACACGACGTGCGGATAGGGTTAAATGTTCGACGAGGGGATAAAAACAACTGGGAATAAAAGTGATGGTCCGGTCGTGTGACATTTATGACAGTTGAAAAACAAGCAACCTGCGGCTATGATGGTCAGCAGTGTCTGTCACACTTGGTCATGAGTGGCGAAAGGGCAGTTTGGGGAAAGTGAGGGCGGGGG